GTGCTCACAAAATCTGGTGCAGCTGTGCATAGTAACCAATCAGCTTCTAACCTTATCTTGTTCAATTAAGTTTTGACAGTAAAAGCTAGAAGCTTATTGGTTATTCTCCACAGCTGCAGTAGATTCTGTGTGCTCCAGTCTTAGTAACTCTCCCTTAATGTTTTATTGTCCCTAATATAAACCATCAATCAGAATTAATTTCCTTCCTAATTCAGTTAAAATCTTCTGACCAGTAGACAACCCTTGTTACAGTGTTTTAGGAACTGGGATGAACAGGGGCATAACTACAGGGTTGCAGGGGTCGCAGTTGCAATCCTGGCCCCATGCTCCAGGGGGCCTCTGCAGCCTCCTGTACACCTGGATAGGAGATGGCATACAGAGGAACTGATTCCTCCATTTTCTCCTACAGCCGTTGAATGCCCACTTCTCCTTCTCTCCCTTCCGCATTCAGCAACAGCAGGAGAGAAATGGAAGGATCGGTTGCTCTCTATGCCACCCTTCCTATCCAACTTCTTTCTGCTGCCTCCAGGCCAAAGTGCTCTCTCCTGGCCCCCCTGTGTGCTCTCTTGGCCCCTCATGCTCCCCCCACAGCGATACCGGGTTCCTCCTTTCCCCCTCTCGCTGGCTGCTGTGGAGGATGTGTCAGGATGGAGAGCAGGGATGTGACCTGTAATTATGTAATGCCTTCTCTGAATGAATCGGTACCGATCACTGACTCTGTTCATTCATAACTAAACCATAGTAAACTGTCTTTACTATGCTTTAGTTTGTGAATGAATGGGAAGCTCTGTACAGAGCTATTCCTGTCCATTCATTCTGTGCTGCTGAGGCTGCATAGATGGAAATTGAGGGCTGTGTTCTCAATCTCCTTTCTCTGTCTCAAAGGTGAAGCATCAGAGGTCTGTTTAGACTCCTCACCACTCGGTGGTCTGGCGCACAGGACTCAGCAGGCGGGGGGGTGGAGGGGGAGAGAGAATATATTCTGTGAACACTCTGGCTGTTCTCTGGGAATAAACACATATTTGCTCTATCACTACTGTTATGGCAGAATGGTTCTGATGGAAAGAGATTAATGGAAGCTGTGGGCATTATTTCAAAACCATACAGGAGATTCACATGGTCCATTAAAGGGACTAAAAGCGTGTATTGACCAAGCAGTCTATGTGAGATCATTGAGTGGAGGTGAGCAGACATCCAGTGGTGGTGGTGTTATCACAGTACACAGTCAATTTAGGTACAAGAGGTGTCACAAACTGAGTAAAGACACAAGATTTTATTCACTGAAGATGGAGGACTTATTATTAATTTAATTTTTAAAATTTTTGTTTTTGCTAATGATTGACACTGATATTGATATTATTTATAAGATGTTACAATAGATCTTACATATATTAAGCGCTGCATAAATTAATCTTTTGGAAAAAAAATAAAATGGTAAAAAATAACTATATACAATATACAGTATACAAAATGGGGAACACAGAAAAGCAGAGGAAAACTGGTAGTGCAGGGAGCAGATGGGAAGGGGGAACCAGGACTGAGATCAAAGACAAGAGGAGTAGGAAAGAGGCAGCAGGGTACAGGATTCAGGGCAGGAACAAGATTAGATATATGGCAAACAGAGTCTGGCAGTAGCAAAACACTGGAGTGAGGGGGACTAATAGGGGAGAACATAAATACCTTACCAGTAGCCAGCATCAGGTGGGAACTGATTATTGGGATCTGCTGGCTGCTGGCAGACACCCGCTGGTGTACACTGAAATGACAATCATCCACCCAGGAAACAACAGTGCCACCAGCAGGTGATCCAAGTCCTGACATATTTGCCTTGGTAGCTATACCACTGACCAGAGTCTGGCAGTAGCAAAACACTGGAGTGAGGGGGACTAATAGGGGAGAACCTAAATACCTTACCAGTAGCCAGCATCAGGTGGGAACTGATTATTGGGATCTGCTGGCTGCTGGCAGACAGCCGCTGGTGGTCACTGAAATTACAATCATTCTCCCAGGGAACCACAGTGCCACCAGCTGGTGATCCAGGCCCTGACACATTTGCCTTGGTAGCTATACCACTGACCTTAGTCTGGCATTAGCAAAACACTGTAGCGAGGGGGTCCAATAGGGGAGAACCTAAATACCTTACCAGTAGCAGCATCAGGTGGGAACTGAGTATTGGGATCTGCTGGCTGCTGGGAGACACCCACTGGTGGACACTGAAATTACAATCATCCACCCAGGGAACCACAGTGCCACTAGCAGGTGATCCAGGTCCTGACACATTTGCCTTGGTAGCTATACCACTGACCTGAGTCTGGCAGTAGCAAAACACTGGAGCAAGGGGGACCAATAGGGGAGAACCTAAATACCTTACCAGTAGCCAGCATCAGGTGAGAACTGATTATTGGGATCTGCTGGCTGCTGGGAGACACCCACTGGTGGACACTGAGATTACAATCATCCAATCAGGGAACCACAGTGCCACCAGCAGGTGATCCACGTCCTGACACATTTGCCTTGTTATCTCCACCACTGACTTTTTTAAATAGAAAATGCATAATTGTATTAGTATGCATGACTAAAAAGAAAACCAGCAGCATTACATTGTCCTTGGAAAAGATTTGAAGAAAAACAATTATACCTTGTTTTTCTCTTGTCACTGTCATGTATGTGTGTAAGGGACTGGATTTATACTTGCCCCCAGGCAAGACAAGATATCACAGCACACAACACAAAGACTAGAGGTACGAAGGTTGGGAGAGACAGTTTGTTCTCTCTGCTTCACCATAAGTAGAACAAATGGTTGGAAAGAAGAGTAAACTATAAGTACATACCAGGGGCGGACTGACCATTTGGAAACTCGGGCACTGCCCAAAGGCCCAGGGTCAGTAGGGGCCCCATGAGATGTCCCTCGTACCTTTTTCATAGCCTTTTTTGAGTTTGGGCAAGGACACAGGGGCCCCATGATCCCCTATTGCCCGGGGGCCCCATGAGTTGTCAGTCCGCCCCTGGTACATACAGTAGTATACCATACTTTCCACCCTTGGAACTTAAGAAGGATAAACACTGTGGGATGAGAAGACATGGGTCCAAGGAAGGAAGAATGAAGGCAGAATTTCCTGAATTGCAAACTACACAGCAAAGAGCAACTGTTGGGAAATGCAAAGTAGAGTTACTAAAACTGGAGCACTCAGAATCTGATTCAGCTGTACATAATAGCCAATCAGCTTCTAACTTCAGCTTGTTGAGTTAATCTTTGGCAATAAAACCTGAAAGCTGTTTTTTTGAAGCAGAGTTGCACCAGATTTCCCACACGCCTAGTTTTAGTATTTAACCCCCAGTGCATAGAGTGCAGTGGTCAGACCTATGTAGTGTAAGGGAGAATGCCCCACTGTCAGTTGTGGAAGAAAAAGGCCTGTGTTTGGTTAGATGAGTGTGGGTGGGGGCAGTTTATATGGACTTTATCCTGTGGACTTTTTTGCTGGCTCACCAAATTAATCTTGCTAAAATCTGATGAACATGAATTTCGGAGCCTTGAAAAAGCCCATTCCTGTATGTTTCAACAGTAGTAGTGAAAATAAGCTGAAAACAGCTAGCTGCTCCATCAAGAAGCATTTTTACTACTCCTAATGTGTCGTAAATACCTCGTTCCACAGGTTTGCAGCCCAGCACCTGTTGAATAAGAATTAGCCAGTTACTGCTTAGCGTCCCCAATGAATAATCCCAGTCCCATTCAGAGCTGGATGGACACTTGGACGGTTCAACAACATTCCACCTACAACAATGATCGGACTGTGAAGAGACGACAACAATAACGACCCAGATGGAAGGTACTGGCAGGAAGAATGGCTATCAGGAATTTGAAATTCATTGGAATATGTTTTTTACATTCTTTTATATGTGTGGGTGAGTTTGTGCCACTCATGGCAGCTTTGCCGTACTAGGCTATGTTGGCTATGCAGTCTTGTGTACATAAGGGTTGTGCAAATAGAAAAATGATCAATCCTTCATGAGATTTTTTTACACAGATGTTAGAGTTGATAGTTTAATGTTTTGTAAATTGCAGACTGAAGTCAATAGGGGAAAAAGTTAAAGTATAACAAAAGCTTTTTTTTTTTTAAATAGGAAAGAATAAAAACAGTTTTCAGGTTTCTTTTGCCATTTGTGTCTCAATTGCAAGACTTTACTTCAGTTCCTACCTTATAGACTAGTAAGTAGAAGGATGTCTTTCTAATTTGAAGGAACTCCCAATTTGGAAAGTTGTTGTGGGTACAGGTATCCTTATTTGTAGATTTCCCCTCTATTCCTTTTCTGGTGGCCACTCAAAATTTAGGATTTTTCTGTATTTTGATTACCCATGGCATTGGTGATCAGGATAAATATAGAGAGTGAATCTGCTTTATGGGGAGTCATCACCACTCTCTCCAAATCATTTAAGATTTTAAAGACAATAATTGACATTTGTTAGAAGGAAGATACATTTTGCAGCCTAAATAATAGATATCCTTATATAACTATGAATATCATTTTTATTTAAACTTGTTACAGCATTCTGAGTTGTTGAGCAAACTGTTTATGGTCACGTAGAAATGCAGTGTCTTAATAACTGCATGCCAAACAAACCTTTTCAAAGTTCCGACGATATTGCCCTAAGCAGATAGACAACCGTAAAATTTGCAGCATACAAGGAAGCCCAGAGCAAACACATGGGGGGGGGGGAGCTTTTAGAGAAAAAAAGAATGTACCCCTCCCTGATTCTAGTCATATAGCTTGATACAAAAGGCCTGAGGGTTACATAATTTCTGTAAGAAAAGACTTCTAATTTTGGGGTAGGACCAGTAGCAGATGTTGACTGGGCAAATTGTTTTTCTCAAGGTGAATTTCCACTTTAAAACGCCCACTGCAAATTATATATATATAGAAGCTACAGACCATAATACACATCCACATCATCTCTTCAGCTCCTTTGCCTGGGACAGAGTGTTTCCATCAGTACTTCCACCATGTCTGGCCTCTTTAGCTCAGGATCACCTTATCAATTTTCAAGCTCAGGTGGTGGCTTCGGTGGTAGCTCCTTTGGAGGTGGAAGTGGAGGTGGCTTTGGAAGTGGCTTTGGTGGTAGCTCCTTTGGAGGTGGAAGTGGCGGTGGCTATGGAGGTGGTTTCGGTCAAAGCTATGGTGGAGGGTTTGGTGGTGGATCAAGTGGTGGGTTTTCTTTCAGCGCTGGAGGTTCGGGTGGCTTCTCTGCAAATGAAAAGCAGACCATGCAGAACCTCAATGACCGTCTGGCTGCCTACCTAGAAAAAGTTAGGGAACTGGAAGCAGCCAATGCTGAGCTAGAGAACAAGATCCGTGAGTGGTATGAGAAGCAAGTAGGTTCTTCAGTAGGTGTAGGAGGCAAAGATTACAGCAAGTACTTTGAAATCATCAATGACTTGAGGGGAAAGGTAGGTTCTGATGTTATGATAGAGTTATATATAGAGTGTTGAATATACCAGATTGATGTTAAAATTATACACTCACCGGCCACTTTATTAGGTACACTTTGCTAGTGCCAAGAAAATATCCCTCACACCATTACACCACCACAACCAGCCTGAACCATTGATACAAGGCAGGGTGGATCCACGCTTTCATGTTGTTGCCAAATTTTTACCCTGCCATCTGAATGTCACAGCAACCAGTCCGCCCATTCTCCTCTGACCTCTGACATCAACAAGGCATTTTCGTCCATACAACTGCTGCTCACTGGATATTTTATCTTTTTTGGACCATACTCTGTAAACCCTAGATGTGCTTGTACATGGAAATCCCAGTAGATCGGCAGTTTTTGAAATACTCAGACCAGCCCATCTGGCACCAACAACCATGCCACGTTCAAAGTCACTTAACTCCCTTTCTTTCCCATTCAGATGCTCGGTTTGAACTTGCAAGTTGTCTTCACTACGTATACATGTCTAAATGCATAGAGTTGCTGCCATGTGATTGGCTGAGTAGAAATTTGTGTTACCAAGCAATTGAACAGGTGTACCTAATAAAGTGGCCAGTGAGTGTATATTTTACAGAATAAAGAAATTATAATTCACCTCCCAAGCAGGGGTGATTGAATCAGGACAATTGCTGAATCCTCCCATTTTATTTTTTCTGAATAATGTTGTGTAGTTCTGTTGATGTATTAAGTATGATTCAATAACTATCTGGTTAATTGCAGTGTGCATATCTGTGTGCATATCTTCAGAAGAATCTAAAAAATTGTAATTGTCTTGGTTTTAAGTCAACTTCCTTTTCAATATTCTAAAACACTATATTGCAGTTTTTCAGTGACCCAAATAAAATTATTTTTTTTTTAAATTTTTGCCTTTTCACTACGTACAAACAAAGTTTACTTTTGTTCGAATTTTAGGAAAAAATATGCCATTTCATTTTATTTAAAATAATGCACACAATAACACAGTTTTAAATATTATTCCTAATAATAATATTCTCTATCTTTTATTCAAAAAGTGTTGTAGAGCTTTCACACATTATTTGCTTTGCACACATTTACGGATTGATAGGTAGATTTTTAGAAGTTGATAGAAATATATTTGTAAAAGGAAAGCAACAGATAAAGAATTTAACATTTTTTAGAGATTGTACAGTTAACGTGCAGCTAACTTGTAAAAAAAATACAAAAATAATATAAGTATTTAAGTGACGTACAGTAAACAGTAAAAAAATAACAATTCCCAAATAAATTAAAATGATAATACTCTAAATTTTATTCATGGTTCCAAAAGATCCCATTCTTGGAAAGACTCAATTTTATTTTAATAAAGAGGACACCATTCAGTTACTGTACAGTCCTAGAAGATAGAGTGCTACACAATGCAAGCAGATATTCAACAGGCTTACTTTATGTGACATACACCTATGTTCAACATAGAGTTGTTAATAGACAAGGAAAACTAATTTGTAGGATGTAAACAGAGCAGAAATACCCTGACGCCACAGTTCACTGCCAGGTGGGAGAATATCTGATTAATATGATTGTGAACGAATAGAATCGACAGTGCTTGCAAATTTTACAATAATAAACAGTTTGCAATAAATAACTTATAGCAGTCTAAGGCCCCTTTCACATGGGCGGACTGATTGGGTCCGTCTGTTTTTTATGTGGACCTGATCGGACCATTCATTGTTCTCTATGGGGAGTCGGATGTAAACAGACGTGTGTTTGTTTACACCCACCTGCATCTGATCCAATCCACTAAAAACAGATAGGGGGGGAACCGTTCCCCATCTGTCTAGTGGATGACAGTCAGATGTAGACAGACAGGCGTTCCGTTTACATCCAACTGCCCCATAGAGAACAGTGGGTTGTGTCCGTGTCTGCTCTGGACAAGCCAACCCACTGAGCAGGCGGATCTGTTTGGTGGAGTCTACCCATGTGAAAGGGGCCTTAGTGAGTAGAACATTGCAAGGGTTTAATTTTCATAACGTCTAAGGGGAAAGGAGAAAACTGCTTTACTTACCTTGCCTTACCCCCATTCCAGCCAGCTCCAGGGCTCTTCTTTTCTTCCTCTGGTGCTCCAAGTTGAGGGCAATCCTTCAGCATCATTGCATACCAGGGGGAGACTGACCATTTGGAAACTTGGGCACTGCATCAGTAGGGGGCCCGATGAGATGCCCCTGGTACCTTTTTCATAGGCTTTTTTGAGTTCAGGCAAGGACACAGGGGCCCCATGATCCCCTATTGCCCAGGGCCCCATGAGTTGTCAGTCCGCCCCTGTTACATACAATGCAGGGAGGAGGCAGCAGTGCAACCATGGTGAGGAGCACCATAGCAGGAACCCTACTGGATAAAGGAACAAGATAGTATTACACTTTATTCCTCTACCCTTAGGTAAAAAGAATCATCTACCTCTTGCAGTGTGGGGGACCACACTGTAGGTTATTTTGTTTTTTTGTGCACAGAGTTGGTCTTTTTTTTTTTTTTTAAAGGACATTAAATGTCTAAAATATTTGTGGATGGAGTTAAATAAATACGTCTTTTAAGGGCATCATCATAGACAGTAAACATTTTCCATAAAGGCTCCCTCAACCCACACAGGTAAGGGCCCAAAATAATGGGACTTTAATTGTGGTCTAGCAGAAACATACAAAAGGTTAAAACCCAGGACATTTTTATTATTACAATTCTGGACACCACTGTGTTGTGATCGTGATTATTGGCGCGTTGATACATTGGACATCTGGGCATATACAGTTGATAAGCCTACCCTGCATATTGGTCTTTCTATGTCTATTTGAGGTTTTCAATCTGTTCAGCGGTTCAGTCTCGGTCTATATATATGGTATTTTTCAATTTTGTTTGCAAATTTGCCCTTTGGTTAGAGTTATGTTTAGAGTTATGTGAGCACCTATAACTAATGGGTGTGGGGCCCCCTGGCAAGGGTTGGTTTTGTTACAATCCTGACTCTTGGTTTGCACGCTAAATTATGTAAAATTGACATTAAGGCGTAGATCCTGAGGAGGCAATTAAGGTGCATGAAACGTGTTGGTCCAGTTGACACCATTTGTATTGCTGTGCAACAATTGTACATGTATCACGCACACGGCCAGTGTTTACTGCCATGTCACTTTTATTGTATTTTAAGTTTTGTAGTAATAAAACATTTCTAGGATATTAACCTTTTGTATATGTTTCTGCTAGGGCACAAATAAAGTCCCATTATTTTGGGCCCTTACCTGTGTAGGTTGATGGAGCAAATATGGAAAATACATTAAAATGTCCCTTGTGGTTTTTTGGCAGCCCATTCAATATAATAGGTTCACCTTAATACAAGACGTGCTGTAAAGCGTGAACCTGGCCCTAACATTGGCTTTTTTACTACCAATGTTATTTAAGATGGTAAGTGATCTGATCAAATAGGCTACCTGAACCACTTACCGCTTTTTATGATTCTAAGTCGTATACACATTATTCTGGGTGGTATCGAGTGATGGAAACCCCTGTTTCTCCTGTCTCTATCTCAAATTGAATTCCTCTAGAGATACAGAATCCTAATTATTTTATAGCAATTTTATAGTGGTTCACATTATACATGTGCTCTGGGCCGCCTGTACTCCTGGGCCCCTTGGAAGTTGTATTGCCTGCCCTTGATATAATTACACACTCGGCTGTAATGATTTTTTTTTTCTGACTTTTGTTAATTTAACTACTTGCCCTCCAGAGGATTTACCCCCCTTCCTGACCAGGCCATTTTTTGTGATAAGGCGCTGCGTTACTTTAACTGACAATTGCGCGGTCATGTAACGCTGCATCCAAATGAAATTTATGTCCTTTTTCCCCCACAAATGGAGCTTTCTTTTGGTGGCATTTGATCGCCTGTGCATTTTTTAATTTTTTGTGCTATAAACAAAAACAGACATACAATTTTGAAAAAAAAAAAACATTTTTGAGTTTTTGCTCTAAATATGTCCAGTAAAAAAATGTCAAAAATCAAATTTCATCATAAATTTAAGCCAAAATGTATTCTGCTACATGTCTTTGCTAAAACAATCCCAATACGTGTAAATTAATTGGTTTACGTGAAAGTTATAGCGTCTACAAATGGCGGTATATATACTGGGATTTTTTTTGTATACTAGTAATGGCAGCGATCAGCAACTTATAACGGGACTGCAGTGGGCATTCTGCCACTGGGGGGGGGGGGGGGAACTGACTAACTGCCACTTGACATCCCCAGTGAGACTAATACAGTGATCAGTGCTAGTAAAAAGCAGTGATACTGTACTAATGACACTGGGCAGGAAGGGGTTAACATCTGCAGCGATCGAAGGGTTAACTGTGTGCTGTGTGTGATTTACTGTGTAAGCTATGTAGAGCAATACAAAGCAGCGTGCTGGTGCTGCAGGGCAGAGATCTGTATTATTTACAGGTGCCTGCGGGGAACCGGTGATTCAAAGCTGACGCTGTCTGGCGCTGTCAATGGCGGTGCACGCCCCCTACCGGAAATACAAAATCAAATATAAATATGTGATTTTGCGCAGCCCGCCTCCCTGTAGCAGTACTTCTGCTTTAGGGCGGTGGGGAAGCGTTTAGTTCTTAAGCCTAAATTGGACCAATAACTATGTCTTGGGAAAGACAACTAGCGTGTTTCTTTTTATTTTTATAAATTATAAATGTAAAAATCCTAATGGTGATGGTGGCCTTGCCTTTCAGCTCTACAGAACACCATTATTTTTGTTGAAGCTGTTGAATTGTAAAATGTCTTTATACACCATAGATTAAATTTACTACTTATATAGATTAGGAAGCATTAGAGGCATTCGAAAATGTGAAATTATTGTATTTCATTCCACATTTTAGATCTTGGATGCCACTGTGGAAAACTCCAGGCTTGTCCTGCAGATTGACAATGCCAGACTGGCTGCTGATGACTTTAGATTGAAGTAAGTGAAACAAAGGATCTATTCATGTGTAAACTAAAAACATTAACATACCGTATTTTAGACATGTTAAAGTTTCTGTTCCATTGCAGCTTCAATCCAGTTAAAACAAAAACTGCAGACGGACGAAAATCATGAAAACTAAATATCTGTTGCAAAAATGGCTATTAATGCATTTTTGTGTTAGACATTCATATTACATCTATCATCATGTAAATAGTCTTGACAACTCCTTCTGAAAATGCTGAATCACTGGCTGTTATTTTAGCCTAGTGACTTTAATACTTGAAATCACAGGAACCTGTAGGCATATTTGGAGTTTTTTATTTATTCTGACCCCCTAATTTTCATGCATATATCAAATGATTCACTCAGACAGAACTGATGTCACAGAGTGTAGGGCAACTAGTATTCTTAGGAGGCCAACAATGGCAGCCCTAGTGATTTCTCACAGTATAGGTTGCCTTTAATGTTCCCCCTTCATTCCATCATGAATGCTGCTCCCAGACTCATCCACCTTATCAACCATTTAGTGTCTGATGCCTCTCTCTGCTGATTCCTCCATTGGCTTCCATTCACCCAACGAATAAAATTCAAAATACTGACAACAGCCTACAAAGCCATCCACAACTCTGCCCCCAGCTACATTATTAACCTCACCTCGTCTGAAATTACCAACTAAACTGTCCTCTTTGCTCCTCTGAGGACCTTCTGCTTTCTAGCATCCTTTTCACCTCCTCCCATGCTTGCCTTCAGGACTTCTCCCAAGCCTTTCCCATTATCTGGAACTCCCCAATCTGTCTGGCTATCTCCTACTCTGTCCACTTTTAGGTGATTCCTCAAAACCCATCTCTTTTTTCTCAACGAATCTTATCCTGTCTCCACCTAACAACAATACCTTTATTTTCACAATCAACCCATCCCCCACAATTATTAACTTTTGTATTATTGACCCTCCCTTTTAGATTGTAAGCTCTAATGAGCAGGGCCCTCTGATTGTATTGAATTGTATTGTAACTGTCAGGAATCTAGGAATGACCAGAAAGGTGTGGACTGACACAGGGAAACACAGGTTTCAGGTATAGTATAATAATACAGTTTATTATTAGCCACCCAGATATATATATATATATATTTAAATGCACAGTGAACAAACCAACCTTCCACTAATCTTAGTAGGTGCAGGAACACAGGCGTAGCCAGGGCTGGAGAGGTGGAATGGTCAGGCCGGCCGTAGGGTTCTGTAACGACTGCCTGGTGGTACCTCTAGCGGTCCTCAGGACAGGATTCCCCAGGGCGCGGAGTCTAAGTCCCAGTCTGCTTATTCACCAGGGCCCCTGATGGTGGGGATGGACTTGGAGCAGACAGGAACCAGGTCGCGGCCCCTGAGTACACCTGCTAGTGGTAGAGGGATCCGCCAGAGGTATGTGCAGGTAGAAAGCCTGATGTGAAGAGGCAGAAGGTGTGAGCAGGGACTGCTGGATCCGTGCAGGATGGATGGATGGCAGAGTAGTTAGCGTGGTCAGACGGGCCAGGTCAGCAACATTGTGCGGGCAGCAAGGTACCAAAGGAGCAGGCAGAGAATGGTCAGGGTCACAAGCTGGGTTCAGTAACTCACGGGCAATGCAGTACAAAGGATCAGGCAGAGAATGGTCAGGGTCACAAGCCGGGTTCAACAGGAGACGATCAGCAGAGGTCAGGATCAAGCAGGGTCAGCAACGAGGCAGGAACACAAGATACCAGGTACAGGGCTCATGGGAAAACATACACCAAGGCCCAGATCACAGGCCTGGTCATGCCTTAAATACACCTTCTGCAATCAGCCCCAGGTTTGGCTGATTGCAGGTGTGAGCTTCTGGCTGCTGAGAGCACCCGCTGGTCAGCTCTGGTACTGCAGCCCACACGGCAGGTGAGTCCCACCACCAGTGCTGAGTCCATTCCTGACAGTACCTGTACTGTCTGCCCTTATTTTGCAAAGAACTGTGCAATCTGTTGGCACTATATAAATCCTGTATAATAATATTTGTTCGTAACCAGGGGGGGGCCTCGGGCCCGGGGTCAGTAGGGGGCCACATGAAATGCCCCTTGTACCTTTTTTATAGGCTTTTTTGGATGTGCTTTGAGTGTGGGCAAGGACACAGGGTCCCCATGATCCCCTATTGTCCGGGGGCCCCATGAGTTGTCAGTCCGCCCCTGTTCGTAACATTTCCAAACAAGATGCCAAGGTTCCTGAGCATTGTTCCTCTCACAAGTAGTTTTGAGAATGTTCAAATGTTATTACTAAAGTACTACAGTCTAAAACATAACTATGCTGTCACTGTGACAGTTGAGCATTCTTAGGACAGTATGTCAATGCTATTTTGAGCTGTTTGCAATTTTTTGGCCAGCTGCCCATTAAATTAGGAATTTTGAAGAGGCAACCTTACTAAAAGATGTTGAATAGAGAATGTAAGCTTTAATCAAAAGGCTGATCTCTGATGAAAGGCTAAAACCAATTTTTTTTGTTGCCCTAAAATGTTCAATAAACCCTATATGTTGTACCTAATGAGCGCTCACTTAGCTTGTATCCCTTTTGGGAATATGACTGTTAATACAGTGTACAATAATTTACAGTCATTTGGTTTGATTTTAACTGCTGTTTTCTCCCTAAGGTATGAGACCGAACTAGCTCTCCGCCAGGGTGTTGAGGGTGACATTGCTGGCCTCCGCAGAGCCCTGGATGATCTGAGCTTGACCAGAGGAGATCTGGAGATCCAATATGAAAGCCTATCAGAAGAGTTGGCTTACCTCAAGAAGAACCATGAGGAGGTAAGTTAATTAGCATTTTCTTAAATTTTCCCCTGATGCTCCATCTTTCCATAGAACAGCTCTTTCAATATGTACCTTAAATTGAACCTTCGTAGTACATTTAAAGATACTCACAGTTATTTAACAACATCCACATAAAATATTCTGCATAAGACCTAAGGCATAATACCCTGTAAACTTCCTGAGGTGCTTCTTTCAGGACTCAAATAAACACAGTTGATTATTGAGCACAAATTTTCGACTTTTCTGCCACATAATCTATTCTTCTAATTTTTCCTAGGAAAGTCAAATTGCAAGAAGCAGTGCTGCCGGCCAGGTCAATGTAGAGATGGATGCTGCTCCTGGAATAGATCTCACTAAGATTCTGAATGACATGAGGGAAAATTATGAAGCCATGGCTGATAAAAACCGCCGAGATGCAGAGGCTTGGTTTAACCAGAAGGTGAGATGGACATCTACATATACATAGAAATGTATTGTGAAATAGAGACTTTACTGTGGTACTAAACATAATATTGTGGGGAGGGGAGGGAAAAAAGATACAGTACACATTTTGCCCAAACTTAGACCCTTCTTACACAGACTTTCCAATCAGGTTTGAAGGTGGACCTGACTGCAAGTTTCATACAAGTCTATAGGCAGGTGAATGTAAATGGACTTGTGTCTGTTTACATCTGCCTATCTCTGAGTCCACCCAGGTCCAGAAAAAATAACCATTCCAAACCTATATGTGACAATCGGAGATAACCTAATGTGAACGAACACAATGGAATGAACACAAGTCCGTTTACATCTGACCACCAATAGATGGTTGACAGGTCCACCACAATCCAGTGTCAAAATGAGTGCAAAAACTGAAAGGGCATGGATGTCACAAAAGTGATTAATGATTACAGAGCTGCATTAATGTGTTTCTTTTTATATCTGCCAAGAGTTTCGCATTAAATCTAAGCATACCAGCACATTTTAAGCAGATGATCCTTGTCATGGATGCTACATGCAATGTCTAATGCAAATGTCTTTAGAAAGTCTTTAGATTTGAGGAGGCTAATGCTTCTGTATATTTTGCCTGGCTTCATTTTGCAATATGGTCACATATCTTCTTTATCCATGATCGTATCAGAGTAAAGAACTGAACCAGGAAATCTCAGCCGGTGTGGAACAAGTGCAAACAAGCAAGTCTGAAATCACCGACCTTAGACGTACCCTCCAAGGCTTGGAGATAGAGTTGCAGTCTCAGCTGGCGATGGTATGTCAAAAAAAGTACATATAATATGGATAAAATCTAAGAACACATCAAATATATGCACAGGTACTTATGTTTACATTTCCAGATATGGAGCTTTTAACTAGTAGGTGGACGTTTTTATCCAAATCCATGTAGCAAACCTAAATACCTGATCATCTAAGAGGATCCAGTCTGAGAGAATTACATACCGTTAGCAATTTTCTGAGAGTTCTTGTCCAAGTTGAACGTACTTGGCCAAAAGTGTGTGGACCCCTGACCATCACACATATACAGTATGTTTAAACATACACTAGGTGGGCACCCCTCCAACATAATGGGTTCAGGTATTTCCAGTGAAGGTTACAGACAGTGCTTTAACAAACAAAGATATTTTAGATAATTGAGCACTTTCAACTATGTAGCAACAGTTTGGGAAAATCCTTTCTTTTGCTTCAGCATGTCTGTGACCCTTTGTGGTCCCATTGTGAGCCAGGCCTTCTTGTTCAGTACCTGACCTTACAAATGTTTTTTTGACTGCATGGGCACAAATGTTTACAGACACCCCAAAATCTTGTGAGAAGCTTTCTCAGAAGTGTGGAGGATGATATACCTATAAAGAGGAATCCAACTTCATTAATGCACGGTTTAGGCCTTATAGTATAGCTGTATGAAACACAAAGGCATACTGTAAGTAGGATAAACTTGCTAGTTTTTATTTTATTTAATAATAAGATTATTGGAACTGGATGCACCATTGATTAAATTAATACCATGTTTTACACCTTTTTTAGAAAAAATCCCTTGAAGACACCCTAGCTGACACAGAAGGTCGTTATGGATCACAGCTCCAGCAGCTCCAGCTTGTCATCAGTGGACTAGAGGAGCAGATGATGCAGATCAGAGCAGACATGGAACGCCAGGGCATGGAGTACAGAGAGCTGCTCAATATCAAGAACAGACTGGAGATGGAGATTGAAACATACCGTCGCCTGCTAGAGGGAGAACTAGGGTAAGTGCCAAAAAAACATCAGAACACTGTAAGACCAATAAAGGACAATGATATATACAGGGCTGGTGCTTCCACTAGGCAAACTAGGCAGCTGCCTAGGGCACACTGCCACTTAGGGGTGCCTGGGAGCAGCACACTCTCTCTGTGTGGGACCCTGCCACGTCATGAATGATCCTTCAGCTAAAGAAAGGGGTGGTAGAGGGGAGGAAGAAAGGACAGAGGAAGATGCCGGGTGTCTGGTGCCAGTGTGGCAGCTGAGCTGCCGCTCCTTCCAATGTTTCTCTCAGACTCCGGGTGGCAGCTGATGATCACTGTGGCCTTCCAGCCCTTCTCTTCCAATTCATCAACAGAGGTGGAGCTGCATCTGCAGAGGATGGTAATGTTTGACTCTGATATCTCGTGTCTATCTGAGTGTGACCTGGCCAGCAGGACATCCATCACATGTGCAATATGTCATTGAGTGATGAGATCATCACAATCCTACAGCCTGCTCTTCTAGTGCCTGCTGGGACTGCTGATCTGTGTCAGTGTTAATGTCAGATGTTTTGTCAGATCTGTCACTATGTGGGATCGCTCAGTTCAGCTGCCTGCTGTCACAGCATTTTATCTCCACCCATTGCCTGGAGAATTCCAGCCTGGGATCTGTCAGAGCGTGGATCCATCATCCTCCACTCACTGCAACTGTCACACTGCCAGCCACAGATACAGTCTGTCCATGACACTGCTTTTGACCTTAATATTAAAAGAAATGTAGCAGTTTCATGTTTTGTTGATTTATTATTTTCTACAGTTTTTATTTTTTTTTTCTGGTGGGGGGGGGGGGGCGGCACAAGTAGCTGGTCTTGCCTATCGAGCAAACTAGTCTATCCACTGGCCCTGGATATATAGAGAGTAGAACTTTTCACATGTACAAACTTATTTTTATTTGTATACGTAGAAAGCAGGGGCGGACTGACCATTTGGAAATTCGGGCACTGCCCGAGGGCCCGGGGTCAGTAGGGGGCCCCATGGTACCTTTTTCATAGGCTTTTTTGAGTTTGGGCAAGGACACAGGGGCCCCATGATCCCCTATTGCCCGGGGGCCCCATGAGTTTGTCAGTCTGCCCCCGGTAGAAAGTTTCCCAAAGGTTTAGGGGAAGAACTACAGGCACAATTCAACCATCCGTGAGTAAAACTCTTGACTGGCTTCTGCATAAACATGTATTCTTGCCTAGGGTGCGCATACACATCAAAGGCCCAAAAGGAAATTGTACCGAAAGCCTGCCATCCGTCCATCTCTGTGGTGTTAGATGCTGGCTGATGGACCTCGTCAATGGAAAGAACCAACACTCCAATGACATCAGCCTTCACAAAGCTTTATTATTGCAGGACTAAATCACTGAAGAGTTCACCTAAACCAAGCCTCACTTTGATGGCTTTATCATGAAGACATCTATGATTAAGCACATTGTCAGAATGATGTCATTGGAATTGTTTGTTCATACACATTAAAGGGTCAGTACACCGAAAACTAATATTACAGTTGTATTATAGTTTTGGCAGGTTCTTTATTTCTCTCAGGGACTCTATTGGTGAGATCTTCATGCTGGGTTCCTGGTTCTGCAGACTTGCTGTGTTCATTGTGAGGGTTTCCCAATCTCCCTGTTGGATTTTTCATTTGTTTTATTGAAAATGCAACAAGGGTTGCTAGAACACTCAAATATGGGTGGAAACAAGCTCCCAGGTGGACAGGAGCAGAGTTAGAAATAGATATAAGAAGCTAGTGACTAATGCATCCCATCAGGATCCACTTTGAATGAAAATCTAATTTTGTAAAGAGCTGACCCTTCAACATCTGTTTAGGGGAGAACAGTGAGGGGCACCAATATTCTCAGAATATGATCATCTAAATAAAGCAGACCTTGCCGATGATGAACATTTGTGATTCATTCATTGTTTGAAATGTCTTAGTGGGTCATCCGCTATTATTAGTGCTGCAATGTTTTTTATGTTTTGTTATATTGTATCCTGCAATATTGTGCTAGCTGATTATAGCCTGAAAGTGATTATAGTTGGTGTTTATTTTGTCTTTTGATGATGAACATTTGCCAGTCTCTTTCTTCCTAATGAGATTTAAAATAATTTCAGATGTAGTTATGTGTTGATGAGTAAAGCTGGTCATAGATGTAGGAGGGCTTGGCCATCTCATGGAGAGGAATTGCAAAGAAATTATTGCCTATTCCCATTTTTCACTTCCAGTTGATCTAAGTGATACATTTTCACAACTCTATACCAATTTGTTTTGCAGGCAAGTTTCTTCCTCCAAGTCTTCCACGGTATCTTCCGCTTCCAAGTCATCTTCCTCATCATCATCCTCTACAGCTGCATCATCATCATCAAAATCATCATCATCCACTGCAGGTGCAGGTGCAGGTGCAGCTGCAGGTGCAGGTGCAGGTGCAGCTGCAGGTGCAGGTGCAGGTGCAGCTGCATCATCATCATCATCATCATCAAAATCATCATCATCTGCTGAAGCTGCAACAGTAAAGGCACCACCCGTTGAGAAGAAAAGAGGTACTACGTTCATCTCCATTACGAGGCCAGGCTTTTTGTCACATTCAGGTTCTAGGCATTAGTACCCATTCACAAACTTGTGGGAGTTTTTTGACGTTTTTTTATTTAACACTTTTTGCATCAGAATTTTTATTTCCCAAAAACGAATATTCAGTGAAGAATTTCTATTGCTACTGTCAAAACCAAATAGAAGCTAGCAATATTTTTAGAAGTAAAATCCCACTCACGTATAGTGTATGTCAAGCTGAAACCAATTTTTTCTAGCTTTGGATAGAATGGAGAAGGATTAGAACTCCCTCCACATTGGCCTACCTTTACATAGGCTATCCCCCTTCAGAGCATCATGAATGATGCTGCCAGACTCATCTACCCTACCAACCATTGCCCACTACCCTTCGCTGACAATACCTCCATTGGCTTCCATTCATCCAACAACTAATATTCAAAATACAAAAGCCATCTACAACTCTATCCAAAACTACATCATCAACCTTGGCTCGAAAGACCAACCAAACCATTCTCTCTGAGACTCCCAAACCTTCTCCTCCTATGCTCACCTTCAGGACTTCTCCCATCTTCTGGAACTCCTAACCCCAATCTGTCTGATTGCAGTCTAAGGGAGGGGTCAACAAACCTTTCTATACAAGGACCTTTTTGTATATTTTAAGTAATGAGGGCAGAAAAAAATCCCATCACAGTCCTCCCTTACATCAAGGTCCCCATCAGACTCTTCTTTACATCAGACTCCAAACCAGAATTCCCTTTACATCAGAGTCCCTACCAGAGTTCCTTTACATCAAAGTCCCCATCGCAGCCCCCGCCCCCCTTTCATTAGGGTCCCAATCTGAGTCCCTTTTCTTTAAATCAGGGTGCCTATCAAAGTCCTCCTTTCATAAGTGTCCCCATCAGAGTCCTTCTTACATCAGGATCCACATCAAACTCCTTCTTACATCAGGGTCCCCATCAGAGTCCCCTTTTACATGGGAAGGGGTTGAATCGGAGAACATGAGCAGCCTCTTAATCCTCAAGATTTCACATTAAGGATATGCCACTGACTCAAGCTGTGTGCCAGATAACATCTTGTAGGGGACCGTGTGTCGCCCATGAGCAGTACCATGATGACCCTTAGTCTAAGGCATATCAATGGGCCAGAAACCCAGAGGCTCTTACAATATATGCAGAAAATCAATAAAAGTAGTGATGCCCTTTAGCAGTAAAGTCATTGTTGCCTGGAGTTTGTCTTGACATTATCAACATAAGATGATGATCTAGATCAGGGTTTTTCATCCACGGTTCCCTCAGAGTTTGCTAGGGGTTCCTTGAGTAATGGGCAATTTCTGTCTCTCAGATAAGTTCTCACTGACACCATTGATCTTTTTAGTGATCTGTAAGGAGGTAATTCTTCCCAATGACCACAATATTAAGGAGCATTCTTCCCGCTGACCATTGCACTAATGTATCATGAGTTGTAGAAATAGTCATTTTTAGCAGAGGTTCCCTGACACTAGAAATTATTTCAGTGGATCCTCTGGGTTGAAAAGGTTGAGAAATGCTGATCTAGATTTTATAATTTTGAGATTCTTATTTAAAACAGTGAAAGCAATTCCGTAAAATGGTATGCAAGGCAATGTATGTGTACCCAACACCTCTTCATACTTTGTCGACTAGTAACAGGTCTTTATCCGGCATCTGGCAAACACTTGCCAATTGCCTGCCAACCACTATATCAAATGTATATTAAATGCCTGTTCAGTTGCATAGGTATTCAACAAACATTTAGACTGGGAGCACCATGTGAATCCTTCCTTAGTGTAATTTCAAATACAGAGAGAAAATGTGTTCCAAAATCTTTAATAATGCAAAATCTTGATATTTATTCCAGACCCAACCAAAACCAGAAAGGTGAAGACCATTGTGGAGGAAGTGGTAGATGGGAAGGTCGTGTCCTCCTCTGTACAGGAAATCGAAGAGAAGATGAATTAAGATGAAAGGTTTTCATGAGGAGCAAATGTGGGCTTCTGGGGGTCCAAGGTGCTAAGCATTGATTCAACTTCATTAAATGTAAAATTACTCTTTAAGAAACGTCTTCAGATTAAATAAAATCTGTTTTGACTGCTATGTTTCTTGTATTCTTTTTTTCAAAATGTTGGTGTTGGGTTGTTGGGTTATTGGGTTATCAAAAGCATGGTTCATTATGCATGACAGAACTAGATGAGCTTTCACTTTGGTGATTTCATGACAGGTACATTTTGACTTCTTGACATTTTGACTCAGGAGAACCCCCTACCCCCCAAACATCTGTTTGTGACACCTCTTTTGGGTTGGGTTCCAAAGACGCCCTCCAATCAGTAAACATCACAAATATAGAGTCCAGTAGTCCCCACAGAGATATGGAGTGTTTTGAGTCTCATTGCAGCTGGTGTGGTGGGTGTTTCCAACACTTAGAGGCAGGGGCGGACTGACTATTTGGAAACTCGGGCACCACCCGAGGGCCTGGGGTCAGTAGGGGGCCCCATGAGATGCCCCTGGTACCTTTTTCATAGGCTTTTTTGGGTGTGGTTTGAGTGTGGGCAAGGACACAGGGGCCCCATGATCCCCTATTGCCCAGGGGCTCCATGAATTGTCAGTCTGCCCCTGCTTAGGGGTGTATTTAAAAAAAACAAAATGGTAGAGCTATTCATCCACTGAAACTGCATTTACTTTCATTCTGCCTTCTAGAAACTTCTCAAGTCTCTAGAGCAAGGGGAGGTATCAGGAACCTTTTGCAGGTCCCTCAACCATGACCCAAAGGTGACCTGGCTGACTTATGTCCAGGCTAATTCATACCCAGGCTGCTGCTCAGCCTTTCTCTCTATAAAACCTAGTTAGCTCCTCCTAGCTATCGTGAAGGGTACTACATGTGGTTCAGGATCACATGTTTATGACCCCACAGACTATTATTACTGTAGCACCTGAAAAATGTGCATTATGTGCATTTTTGCTTTTTTTGCCCGCCCCCATTAAAATCAATGGGGCCAAAGACACTTCCCTGTCCTTCAAAAGTAGCTCATTTTAGGCCTGGTTCACACCTATGTGTTTTTCAGTGCATTTTCAGTCTTACAGAAATGTACTACAGTCCATTTAACTTGGTTTCCTGTGGGTTATGTTCACATCTGTTCGTTTTCCACTGATGCATTTTTTTGAAAGGGTCAAGGTCTTTTTACCCACAACAGGTTGCATTTTTGTTTTCACAGAATGAAATGGAAATGCATACAAAATTCAGTGCTTGCACATGCCAAAATTGCATGTGAAAAACGCAAAAAGCAACGGGAAAATGCATCAGCTGCAACCTGCATATTTGTGCATCAGGCCTTAGAGTTTTAGGAATTGAGCTACAGGCTCCTAATCACTCAGATGTTAACAGGGACAATTGAAAGGCATGTGGATGAGCCTTGTTCAGCAATGTTGAGAGTTTCTGAGTTTCAAGCTACAAAGTGTTATAAGATGGGCTATTCTATCACTTGCCAAGGTATTAAAGTGTTACTAAACCCACAACAGAAAAATCAGCTTGTATATGCAGTTAAAGCATACTTGTTATACTCACTGTGGAACCTAAGGGGTTACTCCTCTGCATTTTGTAGAAAGGCTGTTTGATCCTGACGTCTCCAATCCTCCTCTTCTTCTACTGTCCCAAATTCATCTGCTGATAGTACAGAGCTCTGTTTATGCTCTGTTTGGTGTGTTTTGCTAGAACGTTTTTTTTTTTCTTTGGGAGGATGCATGTGATCAGCACAGGGCCAATCAGCACTGTCCAGCAGAGGGTCAGGGGTCCTGCAGTCTCATAGGACAGTCAGAGGAAAATGAAAACTCACCCTACAAGCTTTAACCAGTGCTCTGCTAGACATTGATAAAAGTTACAAGACTGCTATAATTGCTGACAAGAAATGGTATTTAGCAGTTTATATTTACTAAAATACACTGCTCAAAAAAATTAAAGACTTTTTAATCAGAGTATAGCATCAAGTCAATTAAACACCTGGGATATTGATCTGGTCAGTTAAGTAGCAGAGGGGGTTGTTAATCAGTTTCAACAACAGGTGCACTAGATGGGCAACAATGAGATGACCCCCAAAACAGGAATGGTTTACAGGTGGAGGCCACTGACATTGCTTTCCTACTCATCTTTTCTGACTGTTTTGCACTTGTTTTGCATTTGGCTAGGGTCAGTGTCACTACTGGTAGCATGAGGCCATACCTGGATCCTACAGAGGTTGCACAGACAGTCCAACTCCTCCAGGATGGTACATCAATACGTGCCATTGCCAGAAGGTTTACTGTGTCTGCCAGCACAGTCTCAAGAGCATGGAGGAGATTCCAGGAGATAGGTAGTTATTCTAGGAGAGCTGGACAGGGCTGTAGATGGTCCTTACCCATCAGCAGGACTGGTATCTGCTCCTTTGTGCAAGGAGGAACAGGATGGGCACTGCCAGAGCCCTACAAAATGACCTCCACTTACTCTAGGAGAACTGGACAGGGCCGTAGAATGTCCTTGCCCATCAGCAGGACAGCTCTCTGCTCCTTTGTGCAAGGAGGAACAGGATGGGCACTGTCAGACCTTAAAAATGACTTTCAGTTACTCTAGGAGAACTGGACAAGGCCGTAGAATGTCCTTACCCACCAGCAGGACCGGTATCTGCTCCTTGTGCAAGGAGGAACAATATGAGCACAGCCAGAGCCCTACAAAATGGTCTCCAGTTACTCTAGTAGAGCTGGACAGGGCCGTAGAAGGTCCTTACCCATCAGCAGGACCGGTCTCTGCTCTTTTGTGCAAGGAGGAACAGGATGGGCACTGCCAGAGCCCTACAAAATGGCCTCCAGTTACTCTAGGAGAACTGGACAGGGCCACAGGACCATAGAAGGTCCTTACCCATCAGCAGGACTGGTATCTGCTCCTTTGTGCAAGGAGGAACAAGATGAGCACTGCCAGAGCCCTATAAAATGGCCTCCAGTTACTCTAGTAGAGCTGGACAGGGCCGTAGAAGATCCTTACCCATCAGCAGGACCAGTCTCTGCTCTTTTTGTG